AATTTAAATATTTTATTATATAATTTAGAAATTTATTTATACAATAAATATTAAGAATCTATAAATAATATTTTACTTTAATATTTAATGTTATAAAATTATAAAATTATATTTATTTAATATTATCTTCATATTGATAATAATAATAATAATTTCATTAATATTGATTTAAGTATAATTAAATTATAAAACTTTAGATTAGTGTCTAGATCGATTCGATATTGAATACATTAGTTGTTGCTACTTTTATTTTTCTACTGATTTAATATCTTTAAAATATATTTATTAATATGACGACGTACAACAGCAACAGATGCATGTACAAAACAGCAGCACTAGCTGATTTTGTCCTTGGATATTTTAAAGTACACAATCGATGCATCTGAACGTACGCAAATATATAATCTAATATACGTACGAACGTGCATGCAGCAAACAGTGCTCATCTTTGGTTGCTTCCCACAATATTCATATTCATATATATCATCATGCATGCATACATGGCTGACTCTGAGTTGGTTTTGTGATGTGCATTGCATGATGAGATGGTGAATTTGGGGAAGCATATATATATATGAGCATCACCTTCTGAAGCTGCCAGCAGGAGCAGAAGGTGGCTTTGTATCTTCTTGAGGGAGCTTGACCACAGTGTAGGCACCTGCCCCACATAGAGTTCCAAGTATGGGAGCAAGGAGATAGAGCCATATACCCTTGTAGTTGTTTGCAGCAATTGCTGGACCCAGTGTTCTAACAGGGTTCATTGAACTTCCAGTTGCTGGCCTTTAGTTAGTACGTGTACACCATATATATCATTATCAATATATAATAATCAAGGTCACTTTGGCAACAATGCTAAATATATATATCAACCAATATTCCTATTTTTTGTGACAACAACACTTGTTTCCTTTTCACACTATTCCATTCCTTCTTATCTCTACTTACCTTCGGCTTCGCTAATCCAATTCAAAGGGGACCATTTTAAAAAACAACTATTATGTTTGATTCTCTTCTTGATATTTTGTTTTGAAATTAAATTGTTTTTCAAAATAATTTCACACTACTCAATAAACAATTTTTGTTCAAAACTAAAAAACGGTTTTTCGCAAAGGAAAATCATGATACACAACACAACTTAAAATACAAACTCCCTTCTTGGCATATTCTATTTTGGTTCAACCAAACCAAAACACACTTTTTCAGAGGATTGAATTATGGCAACTTGTACTAATTGCTAAAGCGTTCCCCAGCCCATTGGGGTGACGAAAATACACTTTCTCAAAAGATTGAATTATGCCAAGAATAATTCGAATTCGATCTCATAAACAACTAGTATTGTTCAATGACGTCGTATATATATAAGTATTGATGTTGGTACTAGTGACTCGTGTTTGTTGTAATGTTTTAATTTATTAGTATATTTGAATAATAAGTTGGGACATATGTATATATATATATATACCCGGCTATGAGTATGTTGAGCATGACAGTGGCTCCCACTGCAATTCCCGCGAGCTCTCCCACCTGCACCATATATGATATACCACGCCATATTAAATTAATCACAATGTCATCGATCGTATCTATTATCAATAACTAATATATATGTTACATGTATTAATTACACCTAGTGATGTTACAAATTCCTTTTGTTGTTAATTAACTTGCAGAGCTAGACACATAGTTATCTCACTGCAAAATGTAAGTGTTAATGTTTTAATGGTTGCAACTTGCAAATGAACAAAATCTGCTGAGATTTGTTTTCCATTAATAACTCTCGTTACTACCAACTAGCAAGTAGCAATCATAGGCTTTTTGGATTTGTGTACGTCCTCCTCTTTCCAGGGTTAACACTATCTGGTTGTAGCAAAGACAATAGAAGAGAACCAATTTCTGGTTCAACTATATATGGAAGAGGAAACTTATTTATTTATTGTGTCATGTCAGTAAGAACAGGAAATTAAATATTTTATTTTGCCCCTTCTCATCCCATGTGCACTAATTGCAATAAATAAACTTATTTACCACTTGTTTTCATTAGTTTACGGGGTAAAATGATATATTTAAATTTTAAAGGTTTTAATTAACTTAATAGCTAAAGTTGTTTTGCAACTCTAATTTGAGACTTTTAGGAGAAAAAAAATGTGATTGAGAACGTCAACCCACTAAAAATAATCAATAATTCATCGGCAGAAATTAATTAATTATTGACAAAGTTAATAAATATTATATATTAATATCATAAATTAAATATATTTTTAGTTCTTGAATTTTTTCCAATTTCTTGTTTTTAGTCTTGAACAAATTTTATTTGGTTTTAATTTCTAAAAGTTTTCTTCAAAAGCAAAACAATTTTATGTTAGGAACCAAGATATCAGCCAGAGAAAAAAGTATAAGGACTAAGAGTGAAAAATAATAGAAGTTTAGGAACTAAAATTAGTATAAAAAAATTCAAAGACTAAAAATTGAAATTGACAAAAGTTCAAAAATTAAAAACATTTAATAAAAAATACTAAATTGACCTTGTAATAGGAGTTAAATTAATATAGATAAAATTTTAAATTTAAACTTTATTATTATCATCTTCATTTGCAACAAGAGTTGAATTAATATGCATAAAGTTTTAAATTTGAATCTTATTATTGTCATCCTACTTCTTATTGGTAATTTTTTTAATAAAAAGAAGTTACAAAAACATAAGAGACACTTTATAGTCCTAAACAACTAGTTTTTCTGTAAATAGGTGAACTAATGATTTTTGGAAGGAATCCAGCATTTACGTGAATAATTCATAATGAAATATATTAACGCCAATTTCTATTTTATTTTGAAGAAATGTAAATACAGTGAATAAGTTTTGATTGAACGAAACTTGCAGGGTACGTATGAGTGACCAACGTCCTTCTCGTTTTTCTTGATATCATGACCTACGTCCTTTTAAAATTGAAAACATGCATGAGAAAAATAAAACTTATCATCTAATCTGACAGATGCATCCTAATATTAAATGCAGAAAAGCATATAAAAACCAAGAACTAGACAAAAACGTTCTTTAGAGTTTATATCACTGGTCCCCCTAACATAAAAGTTGTTTCACGTAATTAATTAGGGTTTGTCGTCGATCGAACACAAAACATCGTTTTCATATAGTTCAAACTGATTCGGCTTACTTATCAGACTAAGTGGTTAATAGAATAAGATACTCACAGCTCTTGTGTCGGTGGCCACTGCAGTGACAACGAACATAAGAATAAAGCTGACAATGAACTCTGTGGCGAATGCTTGGCCATATCCTACCGAAGGGACCGTCACTCCACCGCTCATGAACGGATGAAAAACCACTTTCAGAGCAAATGCAGCACTTATTGATGCCAAAACTTGTGTACCAATATACACCGGCACCTGCCATTCATTCAAAAAAAATAAACTAATTAAGCACCAAAAATAATTAAATACAAAACTTAGGTTCTTTTAATCAAAATTACAACTTCATATGCTGTATTTTATTCAAATACAACACCAAAATGATAATACGAAATCAATCTCAGTATCAAAAAGTTTACAATAAGTCACACACCTGCGCAATATACTGAGTTAATTAGATATAAAAACTATATATGTTAGTGTACTCTTGTTTTAAATATAAAGCTTTTTGATTACATTTTTCCACGGGAAGTGCTTTAATGCAGCGAATGAAATGGTGACAGCGGGGTTTAGATGAGCCCCAGAGATGTGTCCGGTGGAAAATATTATGATCATGACGGCAAGTCCATTAGCGGCAGCACAACCAATCAGAGTCTCTGAGCCATGTGTCTTTTGGTTCACAATAGCAGTGCCTATTGCTGCAAACATGAGAATGAACGTGCCAATAAACTCAGCTCCAACCTGCAGGTTTTGGAAGCAACCCAACAACGTTAACACATCAAGGTAAAAAGGGTCTTCATAGTTTACCGATTACCAAACACAAAAACTGGTCTTTTGATTCATCATTGTGCTAGAAAACCCCACTTAACTTGGGTGCAATTTTGATATGTTTATATGGTTGAAAATCTCATATTAACTAGTGAAATGATAAAAATAGGATATATAAATAGAGTTAATTTTATAAGATTAAGTAAGAACCAAAATCAGATTCTTAAAACGGTAGGAGAGTTAAGACTAAGATTTAGTGTAGTATTATTATTATGTTTATGTACCTTTTTTGCTAGAGGGATATGAGGGGCTGGTAAAGAGCAAGAGACTCTAGGCATGGCTCCATCTTCTAAGGTCCATTCTTCAACACTGAAACATTTGCAACTTTTGAGGAAGGATGATTTCCTAACAACACCATTAGTTTTGTCAAACTTGAGGCCACCAAAAAGAGGAGCACCAGGAGTCCCTGGTGTTGCAGGAGTGGAAGGTACTGATGGTACTTCCTCGCTATCCATTATTAATTCCTCTCTCGAAGTAGCAAGTAACTATGTACCCTGAAAACAATTAGGGTAGATAGATAAGAATAAGACAAGAAAAAAAAAAACCAAAGCTGAAGAGAAGGAGGGAGAGAAAGATACCCTCGAGATTGATGCTAAAATTGTTTTATCTTTGGATTGGGGTGAGAATGGCAACACGGAGGTATACTTGTTATATAGTAGGTTGTAGTTGACTAGCGAATCCAAATGGAAAGAAAAGGGAAAAGACATGAGTGGTTGAAACTGATGGTATACAAAAGAAAAGAGCATAGTATGGTAGGCGTTGTTGAATGCAGGCACCTTGAATATGGGACTTGGGAAAGAGGCCCTAAACGTCAGACATCAATCATGGGTTTTCCTTGTGTACCATTCAATGTGCCTTCTCTTGTTTTTCCATTTCCCATTCCCATTTCTTCGATCGTGGCCATCCTTTTTTCTCTGTGCCTGTCAGGAATTATTAATCATCAAGGATGAAATGATACTATGAGCAATCTATATATCTTGTCAGAACCTTATTAGCATGTAGCAATGCAATTACTGATTAATCGCGTGACTTTCTGCATATTGCATGGTTGGTAGACACTGTTGATGTTGAGAATTGAATAGTGTGGCTTGTAATATAAACACATTTATGTGTGCACTTTTGCTTTTAGACCTCTATCAAGAGTTTACTTTTCTGAGATATACCGATGATTGGCTATTGGAAATCTCCATGTATCGAAATTGTTATTAAAAACAGGAGAGAGAGGAAACAAATTAAAATTAAGCTAATAAAATGAAAACACCTAACTTGTTTTCTTAATATGGCATTATCAAATTATAAATTAAACATCTTCCAAAAAGTGCGAACAAAGTTGACACATGATTTGAACGAATCTTCTTTCTAATAGTGTTCAGAAAAGGTAAATTGAATAAAACTGTAAATAAATTGGTTCTGACTCAAACCGAATCGATCTGCAAAAAAGGTTTCATATGAATTATAATTTCTACCGAACTGATTTTGTTTCACGTGAAGCGGGAATGATATGATTAAAATAAAATATATAAATAAGTGGATAATCTTTATTTTATAAGTTGATTTTATAAAATTTATTTAACTTTGTTAAGTTTAATGTATTTTATAGGTGTAATTATTACTTTCTTTCTTTTTGAGACATACTTTTACTGATGTTGGTGGCTGTGTCAGGGATCAGACTGCTGTATCTCCTTTTCTGTCTTATCTTGTACTCTCTAAGCACATATATATATATGAATGTTTTGGAGCTAAGTGTATAACACACACTTTAGCTTTTCTCTCATATTCCGTCAGTTTTCTCAACTTGGTATCAGAGCGGGTTCGACCCGCTCCGCCTGTCATCGTCCACCGCCGCTGTCCGCGTCTCCGGCCGCCGCTC